TGGAGAAGGATGTCATGCTGGGTAAGGTGGAGGGTCAGAGAAAAAGAAGAAGACCCCTAACGAGATGGATTGGCCAGGTGGCATCATTGATGGACTCAAGTGTGGCAGCGGTAGTGAGGTTGACCCAGAATTGGACATTGTTTCGTTCTGCTGTGATGGGGTTGCTCTGAGTCGGTTCCGACTCAATGGCACCTGACAACAACAACAATGAATGTGATCTCCTATTTCCTTAGGATATATTCCCAGGTTTCTAAAAACGGAAAATTTCATTCTGAGAACTCAATTGTCAGTTTGAATGCTCACTGCTACTGAGGCAATTCTGATTCATAGTGACTCTATCGGATGGGGTAGACCAGGCTCCCACATCTTTCTCCTAGTGCCCTTTCTTTACACCTAGTGTCTACCAATTTTCATTTCCCTACACACTTTCTCTACTGAAGTTTGCCAGTCTTCTTGACTCTTGAATTAATGAGAAGTAAATTATGCTTTCTCATTTTTGTTTTTATTTATATTATCTAGATTACTTCTTGTTATTAAGTGCCACTGAATCATTCTTGATACATAGCTATTCTATATAGAGTTTACAAAGAGTAGCTGGTGGGTTTGAACCACTAAACTTGTGGTTAGCAGTCCAGTGCTTATTCTACACCTCCATACCAGGATTCCATTTATGTTACCAGAGATGCTGAATATCTTTCTCTATTTCTTACTCTCTCAGCTGTTCTCTAGTTATAATCTTACCTTCTTTCTTATCAAAAAATGGAAAATGAACACTACAACATAACTTAGAAAAATCTCAAGATCAGAGCTTCAATATAAAGACCTCCCTGTTGGGCTCTCAGTCCTAAATCCCCACTTGAATGTTTCTGCTATGAAATAAGTGATTACATTGAAATCTAAAGTTTGCAGTGTTGTGATGATCTCACCGAATCTCAGTGAGAGAAATTACAAAGCTTCAGCCTCTCAACTTTAGCAGCATAGTGAAAAGTACTAAAGTGGTTCTAAAGTCTTGCAGCATATCTCCCAATCTTCAGGATTTCTGTAACAGTGACCTGTGCTTTTCCTTAGTAATATTTGTCTTTCTCCAACATGATTTGCCTGTTAACTTTCCAGACTGTATCATAAGGAACTCTTGTGTGTAGGATCCTATCTGCTTCCCAGCTTACAAGGGGAGTAGCTCAGTCACCAGTAGCAAATCTGTGTGAGCTACTGCAGGATTACAGTGTCATTCTTTGTCAGACTCACATTTTAGATGTCAATGACAGTATAATGTGCTTCCTGCAAGATAAAGTTGTCTGTGTTCCTTAACTCTAAAGTCTTCCTTTTATCTTACAGGGGAAGCTAAGAACAGAAAGTATAACTCATCACATTTCCATAGGTTTAACTTGTATGGAGCTCCAACACCACATTTTAATGATGGACGAAACGTGGCAAAAACTTTTTATTGGCTTCATGAACTACAAATGTAAGTCTAGCAATATTGTGTCGTGGAACAAGTGTTAGCTAGTGTACATATGAATTTAAAGAAAAGTTCATTACTGAAAAACTGATATTTAAAGAGATATTCACTGACATGGTTCAAAGATAAAGTGGATAAAAATACATACAGTGAAATGTCCTTTCCTTCATGATCCTCAGTCTACTCAATTCCCTTAGAGATCACCATAATACTGGGGTTCTTCTGTGTGTGTCATTCTAAAGTTACTTCATGTCTTTATAAACAAATGTAAAGATATACAGATGTATTTTAAATATATTTACATATCTTGAAGAAAATGGACCTTGAAATCTCCACAAAGACGATTACATAATATAGCATTTACCTAAAATGGTTTTTTTAGTTTTAAAAAATTAATTATTGTGCATCTGAGCATGTGACTTATCTTTTGCAAGCTATGATCTTTTTATGCCTTCATTTGTATAGGAATATGTCCCCAGAAATTTTGTTGAAGTTAATTATGCAACTGTTGCTGTAGTGTATTGACAGGGACCTGACAGAAATTTAAGCTGGGTTCAAAGAGAACAAAGGACATCATTCTTAATGTCAGATATAGTTTGGTTGAAAGTAGAGTATAAAAGAAAGATGTTTACGTATGTTTTATTGACTCTGCAAAGGCATTTGACAGATTACTGAAAAGAATAAGAATTTTAGAGCATTTACTTGTGCTCATGCAGACCTTGTATATAAACCAAAAGACAGTTATACAAACAGAATAAGAGGACACTGCATGGTTTAAAAGCAGGAAAGGTGAGTTTTTGGGTTGTATCCTTTCACCACACTTATTCAGTCTGTATACTGAGCAAATAATCCAAGAAGCTGGTCATATGAAAAATAATGGCATCAGGATTGGAGGAAGTCTCATTAGCAACCTGCAATATGCAGATGACACAGCCTTGCTTACTGAAAGTGAAGAGAATTTGAGGGTCTTGTCGTTGTTAACTGCTGTCAAGTCAACTCATATCAACCCTGTTTATGGTTTCAGAGAAGAGGCTGGTGGGTTTGAACTGACAACCTTGCAGTCCAGTATGTTTATTCTACAGTGCTACACCAGGACACTCTGAGGAAAAATAGAGCTTTCATTATGGATCATACTTCGACATAAAGGAAACAAAGTCTTCACAACTGGACTAATAAGCAACATCATGATAATTGGAGAAAATTAGAGTTGTCAAGGATTTTATTTCACTTACATCCACAATCACCGCTCATAGAAGCAGTAGTCGGGAAATCAACTGATGTGTATTCCTTTGGTCAAATGTGCTACAAAAGAGCGCTTTAAGGTATTTAAAAAGCAAAGTTGTCACTTTGAGAACTCAGTTGTGCCTGACCCGAACCATGCTATTTTCAGCCATCTCATATGCATACAAAAGCTAGACAATGAATAAGGAAGACCATTGCTCCCTTTGAATTTTGGTACAGTCCAAAAATATTAAATATACCCATGGACTGTGAGTTTGTCGTACTGTGATGACTTGCATGTTGCTATGATATTGGTAGCTATTCCACTTGTTTTCCAAATACCAGCTAGGTCACCCATAGTGGAAAGGTTTCAGCAGAGCTTCCAGACTAAGAAGAAGGAATATACAGTCTACTTCTGAGGAATTAGCTCCTCGGAACCTTATGAAAAGCACTAAAACATTCTCTGATATAGTGCCAGAAGATGAGCCCCTCAGTTTGGAAGACCTTCAAAATAGGCAAATTTGCTTCCTCAAAGTAAAGTTGACCTTAATTACATAGGTGGAGCAAATCTTTTGGTACTTTCATTTGTTAATGGGACATGACTCAAAATGAGAAGAAAGAGCCGCAAACATCCATTAATAATCAGAATATGGAGTGTATAAAGTATGAATCGAGGAAAATTTTAGGTTTTCAAAAATGAAATGAAACACATAAAGCTAAATATCTCCTAGGTGTTTATGAGCTGAAATGAACAAGTACTGGCCATTTTGAATCAGACAATCATGATTTACTATGCCAGGAATGACAGATTGAAGAGGAATGACACTGCATTCATTTAATTGCGGTGTTGTCTTTGGTAAGATAATATCTATGTACCCATAAGGAAGGCCAGTTAATACAACTATTCAAATTTACATGCCAATTGCCAAAGCCAATGATGAAGAAATTGAAGAATGCTAAGAACTTTTTCAGTCTGAAATTGATCAAATATGTAATCAAGATGCATTGATAATTAATGGTGACTGAAATATAAAGGTTGGAAACAAAGAGGTGGGAACAGTAGTTGGAAAATAAGGCTTTGGTGACAGAAACAATGCTGGAGACTGCATGATAGAGTTTTGCAAGACCATTAACTTCTTCACTGCATACACTTTTTTTTCCCCCCAACAATACAAGCAGTGTCTTAATCTGGGTTCTCTAGAGAAGCAAAATCAGTAGGGGGAAAAAA